GGTCTTAAAGACTTGAGGCTAACTAAATAAGCAGCCATCTAGCTCAGAAGCAACAAAGCCCACATGGAAGAAGCACACCAGCCTGTGTGATCATGAGGTGCCGAAGGGATCAGTTATCAGGCTTCAAAGAACAAAAAATCATATCATTGTGTGCTCACCTCCCCAATACGATCACTGAAGACAAATGGGTGCATAAGCAAATGTGGTGAAGAAAACTGATGGTGCCCAGCTATCAAATGATATAACATTTAGGGTCTTAAAGACTTGAGGGTAATCAAGCAGCCATCTAGCTCAGGAGTAACAAAGCCCACATGGAAGAAGCACACCAGCCTATGTGATCTGAGGTGTTGAAGGGATAATGTATCAGACATCAAAGAACAAAAAATTATATCATTGTGAATGATAGGGAGTGTGAAATGGGGACCCAAAGCCCATCTGGAGGCAACTGGACATCCCCTTATGGAAGGGTCACGGGGAGACGAGCCAGTCAGGATGCAGTGTAGCAACGATGAAACATACAACTTTCCTCTAGTTCCTAACTGCTTCCTCCCCACCCACTAGCATTATCCCAATTCTACCTTACAAATCTGGCTAGACCAGAAGATGTACACTGGTACAGATAGGAACTGGAAACACAGGGAATCTAGGATGGATGATCCCTTACCAGGACCACTGGTAAGAGTGGCGATACCAGGAGGGTGGAGGGAGGGTGGGGTAGAGAGGGGGAACTGATTACAAGGATCTACATATAACCACCCCCCTGGAGGACAGACAACAAAAAAAGTGGGTGAAGGTAGACATCGGACATTGTAAGCTATGACAAATAATAATTTATAAATTATCAAGGGTTAATGAGGGAGAGGGGAGTGGGGAGGGAGGGGGGAAATGAGGAGCTGATTCCAGGGGCTTAGGTGGCGAGCAAATGTTTTGAGAATGACAGGGGTAATGAATGTACAAATCTGCTTTATACAATTGATATATGTATGGATTGTGATGAGTTCTTTGAGCCCCCAATAAAATGACTTTTAAAAAAATCAGCTGTCACACACAAAAAAACAAGGTTTGAGCAAAACTGCTTTAAAAAAAATCACTGTGACCAGAGAGAACCTTCCCAGGTGACACCACTGGGTGCGCTAACTCAGAGCAAGTTGATTGATGCTCACCTAGCAGGAAAAATGCTTCCTATGAAAGCTCTGCTTCATCCATCACATCCCTGGTTTAGGGGGTACCCCCTCATGCTGGACCATTGAATCACTTTAGACATGTCCTAAGGCATGCTTTGAGTTTAAATTCTATTTGTCAGATGAATTCCAAAAGTCTTCACTAAGTTGTGAACCTCAGGGGCATTTTGAGTAACAAGGTGGTAGTTTGACTCAGCACCATGGGAGAAGATTACATACTATGGCAGCCTTCCCATCATTCAAAGGACTCTGAGTCTGTGAACTGGCTCAGGTTTAGAGATGGAAAAAGAAGCTATGAGTTCCTCTATGTTGTCATTCAAATTGTTTCCCTGCTCACCAGACCTAGGAGATTTTGATTATTTGTTGGGGTTTTTTTGTTTTTCTTTAATTATTTTTTTAAATTATTAATCATTTTATTGGGGGTTCTTACAAATCTTATAACTTGTATATATGTTGCCATCAGCATTTCCAAAACACCTTCTTTCTACTTGATATTTATTTTTAAGTACAACTCAAGTAATACTTTAATAGTCTGCTCTATTTTAGTTCTAGAACCACTGTGATCAATTAACTACCACCAAAGATTTTTGCCACCCAAACCATTTTGATTTCTTCTTTGGCCCTGTTGCTTAATTCCTTAATCATGTTCATTTTGTGGCTGGGAATTAAATGCTGTCACTTTTGACTTGGGACACTTTATAGTACCTTAAATGTACTGGATGGAATTCAAAATGTGTGGGGTATTTTTGTACATTGGCCTGCTAGCTGTAAGACATGAGGTTCGTTTAGGGTATGCATAAAAAGTCTTTGGATCTCTGACAGCCTGTTCAGTAATGAAGTCCTGACAAGGCTACGAGCACAGTCATTGTCTCCTTGTGAGCATGTGGTAAGATGTGGCCAGACATACCCTTGTCGTGCTCGGTTTCACTGCGACACTCTTTACACCCGTCACTCTGTCTCCCGAAGCACTGCATCACAAGCAATGTTCTGAGAAAAGGTTGTCCACTTTCACCATAGATTACCTGTACTGTCGATAAGATCACACTGCCTTTGACTCTAACCATGCTCAGGTATCTAACCTCCCACCCTCACATTTGAGGATCTGACCACTGGGGCCACTTCTGAAATCAAGCACTTGATCATTCAGGGGTGGGTCAGGAGAACAGATTACACTGTGTGCCTTTCAAGCTGAAAGATGTTTAATGTAGGGAGTTCTATGCTCACAAAAACCATTGGAAAGACTGAGGGAAAAGGCTTTCTGAAAATCTGGAAGTACAGAAGTTACCATGCTCTCAGAAGGTGGAATCACAGTAAACCTATTTTAGTGCAAAGGCTTTACCAATTTACATTCCCTCAAACCTAATACCTTTACCAGTATAGAAGAGTCTCATTTTAAAAATAATGTTTTTCAGCATCTCAAGAACAACCAGGAGCTGTCAGCGATGTTGTCTGCATTGCAGCAAGAGAAGGAAGCTCTACATAAAGAATGTGGGAAACTGTTAAGCCAACTTGATACCCATATGAGGTAAAACTGTGTACAATAGCGATGTTTTACTGAGTCTGCTCCAGAAACAAGTAGTAAGATGCTCACTGCAGCAACTTTTAAGAGAACCAACATCATTTCTTTTGTTCCCAGAAGTTCTATCCACAGGATTCTTGTAAGAGACGGAAAGGGAAGGGAGTTAATACTTGTTGCGCTTTGTTGCTACATAATACCTGCGTTCCCTTCTCACTTACCTTCAGACTTTTTTCCCCTTCAACACTTTTCTCAGCCTGGACTACTCTCTCACCAACCCCTTCTTCTGAGACCAGGAGCCATCTCCTTCCTCTTCGAAACTTTTCTTGACAGTCTTAGCCAGGGTTGTGTGAGGTGCTCATTCTTTGTACTTACTTCAGAACTGGTCACGCTGTTTTGAAATGCATACTGTGACTCACTACCTGCCTTCCTCATCAAATTATAGAGCATGAACCATAGATTTTACGCATCTTTTTATCCACAGGATGTGGCATACAGTTTTTGTTGCATGGCAATCACTTTCTTCTTCAGAATGAACTAGCAAGTTCTTCTGAATGGCTTGTCAAAACAATAGAGATAGCCAGACATGTGCCGGGCCAAGCAGTGGTCTATTAAACAGAGAGGCGGGTCTCGAGAGTGAAGCAAGCCCCCTCTTGAGTTGAATGAAACCATAAGCACAGTATGCTTCAACCACAAAGTGGGGTCCCTCATAGTTTGAGGAAGATGCCAGTCTAGGGGTATAATATCAAATTCTATAGGGATCGGGTGGTAGGACGCTATTGGCCAGGTTAGACCCCACTCGAGTTCTTTCTTTATCTTAACCTTAGTGTTCTGATTAGTCGGTGAGGTCTCCTGGTGCACATTTGATCATCAGTCCTTTGGGTAGCATCTGATGATCAATCCTTTGGATAGCTGCCTGAGCCCCTGTTATCATTCTAGGCAGTGGGAAGCTCACTTTCTGTTGGGGGTTGGTTACTCAGCATCCAGTGGGACCCCAACTATTCAATTGAAAAGTATGTTTCTGAGCTCTTCCTGATCTTTCTTCAATTCTCTGCTCTTCATTTGATCTGTCTTCTGTTCCGCCGTATTTCTCCACCTCTTCTCTCCAGACTGTAGCCTAACAGTTAAAACTTGGACTCTGAGGTCCCACTGCCTGGGTATAAATCCCGGTTCTACTAGAAACTAGTTGCATAATCTTGGGAAAATTATTTAACTTTGCATTGCCTCAGGTCCCTCATCTTTACAATGGGCAGAGTAACAGTACATCTCTTATGAGGCAGATGGGGGAGTCAGTGAATTCATGAGGTCCCTCATCTTTACAA